ACAAGTACTTGTCAAAATGCCCTGTTTTTTCCGCCCTCAGGCGGCCGCTTGCCTTGCGGTAGCGCCGGGCCTGCCAGCATCCAATGAAAAACGTATTGCAACTGAACGGATCTGGTGTGAATGGGCCCTAAGTGAAACTTTGTATATAGATGTCATCGGCACACCAGCACGACCGAGTCCAAGTCAGTGCAAATCCTTTTCTTGATATCAAGATATGTGGAGTGACATCCATCGATAAATGGATTTGCACTGACTCGGTTGTGCTGGTGTGCCGATGACATCTTTATACAAAGTTGTACTGTGTGCGGACGCCATCCGCGGTCATTCCTAGCACCCATCAACTCTTTTGGGATTTCCGGTAAGGAGTGCTACAAGATTTATGGACATTGGGCACTAAGAAAGGCTAGGTTCACACCTGGGCGACTCCTGACCGCACGGCAATCGTGCACAATGGCACCCCAGTCGCGCGGGGCGATCATGTGGTTTACCGCCGCTATTCAGCCCGCGCAATTGAAGACGGTCACTGCAAAAAAAAAAAGCAGCGCATCGTGTGTTGCAAAAAAAAATGTACCGTATTTGCCGGCGTATACGGTGACTGGGTGTATAAGACTACCCCCTAATTTTCCACTTAAAACATAGGTTTTGGGCTATACTCGTCATATAAGACTACCCCACTTCCATTTATAAACATGATGGATGGATGTGCGGTAATACTGTATGTACGGTAGCTTCAGCTACATACAGTATACCGCGCTGAGCCAATCACGGCGAGCGAAGTATTCTATTAATGAATACAAAGCCTGCTTGGATTGGCAGAGGTTGTGTACATCGCTCGCCGTGATTGGCTCAGCTACTGTATGTAGCCAAAGCTACCGTACATACAGTATTACCGCACATCCAGCGGGCTGACAGATTAGGGATGTTCGTTTTGGGCCAGCTTGCCCCAAACGAACTAAAGGTATACATTGTATACCCCGCGTATAAGATGACCCCCGATTTTAGGGGGATGTTTTTAGGTATAAAAAGTAGTCTTATACGCCAGCAAATACAGTACTTGTACTTTTTTTAGCGATTGCCACGCGGAAGTCATCCCATTGATATCAATGGGGCCACACGATCGCGCGGCCCGGGTATCGCTGAGGTGTGAACCTTGCTTGATAATAGCAGCTGTCATTGGCACGTCTTTGTTTACAAAGTCATGTGATCACTGTCATAGCTAATCAGGAACCATGCTGACTTGCTCCTGATTGCTAGTGCAGACCCTCATTGCTGGATGCACTCTGCATGTTCCATGTCATAATTTAGATATCCGAAGTTGTATAAATTGTCAGAGTTCAGAAAAGAGCTTTTCAACCGATGGCAAAAATGTATTACTACTACAAGCTCCTAGGACTCATCTCCTTTTCACCCATAACCCTCTATAGTCTGTGGCCCAGCTTTCATTATCCCTCCAACTCCGTCCTAAGCAATCATAAATATGAGCCAATAAAGGGAAGCAATTAGGACAAGAAAAAAGCATAACACCAGAGCTTACCATAAAAGAAAAAACTATTAACTCAACAAAGCCAATGTTGTAAAGTAGTTTTAAGGCAGGGGTGCCCACAATTTTTGTGTTAAGATCTACTTTTCAAATGACGAGCTACATGAGATCTACCAACAAAAACAAACCTCCCACCCGCTCCTTCTCTCTCGCTCTCTCTCCTGGCTGCCTCTCCTCTCTCTCTCCTGGCTGCCTCTCCTCTCTCTCTCCTGGCTGTCTCTCCTCTCTCTCCTGGCTGCCTCTCCTCTCTCTCCTGGCTGTCTCTCCTCTTTCTCCTGGCTGCCTCTCCTCTCTCTCCTGGCTGTCTCTCCTCTCTCTCCTGGCTGTCTCTCCTTGCCCTCTCTAAAGTCGCTGCTCTGCAATATTACAGAACACCGGGAAGCTAGACCTCGTACTTCTCCTTTCGTGCTCGGCCCTCCATCCTAAAGTTGCTGCTCTCATGCTGTCGGCCTCTGCCTTCATGTGTCAAACGCAGCAGATGGGGAGGGGCTAAACCGACCGTAGGAGGGTTCTCGGGATAGTGAGCCAATTTACAATGGTGATCTACCAGCATCAGCTTTGTGAGCTACTGCTAGATCACCATCTACCTAATGGGCACCCCTGTTTTTAAGGTGTCTACCAAATTTGAAGTGTCCTAGCTTTGTGGTCTATATGTGGGAAGTCATCATGGAGAAGAGACCAGACAAGTCCTTCATTGGTCTGACTACCAAAGCACAGATTGAACTAGTGGCTCACCCCCGATACTCTCCAGGCTTTGACCCCCTCTTCTAAAAACTGAAGGAACACTTGCAAGCAGGGCCGAATTTACTCCAAGGCCAGGTTCCTCAATGCGCCCCCCTACCCGCCAACATAAACAATGGCAGACCTGCAGGCTGCATACAATGTCGCTGAGATCACTTGAACAAAACAAGCGGTGACTTCCCTGCTGTAGTTTTAGCTCTGCTTGCCCAAACAACTACCCGCCCCAGGAGATAGGAATTCCACACCCCTGATGCCTCTCTACTCCCTGCTGCCCCAAGGCCGGGCCTTGGTTGGCCTTGTGGGAAATCCGGCCCTGCTTGCAAGGAAGGTGTTTTGGAAGCAATGATAAATTCATGGATGCTGCTGTGGTGTGCTTTGAGGGTAAAGTGTTCTCCTGAATGGAATGAAAATGCTTCAGCATGGTCAATGAAAGTGCACTGAAGTCAAGTTGGCTCCCTGTATCATATATACTGGTCTTGCCCGCGCTTGCGGGTTTTCTGGAAGTTGGTCCCAAACACACTGCCTGTTACAATGAAAGCTTCCTTTAGAGCCTATTCACTATCTACTGGGCCTTCCGTTCCTGCACCTCCATAAACATGAACGTAAATTGGCTTCTCATATCTTGACGGCAGCTCGCTGCCTCATAGCCCTCCAATGGAAGCGCCAGACCCCTCCATCTGAAGTGGAGCTGTATCAACGTGTCAAGGAGGTGCAGGGGTTGGAACACCGGACGGCTCAGTTGAATAATACTTTACATGTCTATGAAAAGGTATGGAAAGCCTGGAACTCTATGGAAGACCAGTTACTGTTGCCAAGGTGATAAGGCCCGTAGCGCTAAAATTCACATCAATGGGTCTAACATCAGCGGGGCCGAAGCAAGTTTAAAAGAGAACTATGAGGTGAATGCTTTTCACTCACCTCATAGGTTTAGACGACCTGTGACAATGAGACTGTCACAGGTCGGCTCAGTAGATCGGGAGGTGAGCGAACACATACCGGCGTTCGCTCACCTCTCGATCCTGAGCTTCAGCTGCCGCACCTCAGTATACCGCAAGCTACAACTCGCGGTATACTGAGCTTAGGGTGACAGGAGGACGCTAGTTTGTGTCCTCCCGTTACCCTAAGGAGAACTATTTTGAAAAGCCTTTATGGCTTAGATCTACATATAATTTTGATGTTTTGTTTGTTCATGACTTTACTTCATGTGTATACCATGTTGGTTGCATACAGTTTAGTCACAGAGTTGTGATTAATATTTGCTATAAACAGGCTCGACATGCATCTTTTTCTAATTGAAAGATCGGATTAATGCTTATCCCGAGTGGTCTATTTGTAGAAACTTAGAGTGCAGGTTGGTGTCTAAAACCACCGTTACTCTACATTTGTAGAGTTGGTCCACGGCTGTGTTACTTAAAGTGACATTAAAGCCTCAGATTTTTTAACATAAACCAATACTGTAATGTGCGCCTTACTGTAATCCATGGTTGTTTCCCTTCTCTTTGCTGCTCTTCCTTTTAAATCCTCATGTCTTCTCATGCTTGGGGAGAACTTCCATTTTGCAGCTGAGTGCCTCTTCCTGTAGTGCTGGCTCAGGTTACAAACCAACACACAGACACCGTGTATCCATTCCAGAGACAAGGCAGTCTGCTGCAAAATAGAAGTTCTCCCCAAGCATGAGAACAGATACAGATTTAAAAGGAAGAGCAGCAAAGAGAAGGGAAACTACCATGGATTACAGTAAGGCGCACATTACAGTATTGGTTTATGTTAGAAAATCTGAGGGTTTAATGTCACTTTAACTTCTAAATATGACTGTTAAAATGTGGGACTGCTCCGGTTAATATTTCCTTTTATGTATATTTTTATTGTCCAATTGATACATTTACAGTATTTTGTAATTTTATATTGACCGTATGAAAGTAAAAAAAAAAAAAAATAAAAGGAGCCGCAGCCAGCGTTTAAAATAAAAAAGGCAGCTTCGGTTACAAACTCTCTGCCACAAGATGTCCTCAGTCATCCATGTTGAATGACACCCATTACTCCACCTGGAAGATGGAGGACATACTGTGAGTGTAAAGGTGCCCATACACTCTACAACCCTTGCAAGACTTTTGTCTTGCGAGGGTTGTAAAGTACTTAAAAAAACGTACGATCTGCCCATCTTGGACAGGCAGATCGTACTTGCGATCATCGCAGGCCGCGCCCCCCCTGAGGGGCGGGCTTCCGATGACTGCAATGCTGAACGGGCACACCGGCCCGTTCGGCAGTGATCTCTCGATCGTGTTAAAAACCAGCCGAAAACCGAACGATTCTCGGCTGGTTTTCCAACATGCTCGATATACAAAAGTCGTGCGACCGTACAGTAGAAACTGTCGCACGCCTTCCATACCCTGCACGATTCTCGTACGATCGCGGGATTTCCCGCGATTCTCGTGCAGTGTATGGGCACCTTTAGGCTCCCTGTATTCAGTATTATCCTGACTCTTTACTATGTGGCTGAGACAACAGAGTTCTAAATCACCTCTCACAGAAAGCCAAAAAATTCTCGTGACTTCATCAGCAAAACCTGCCGAGGCATACAAGCAAAGAAAAGCTGAATCGAGGAATGCAAAACTTACCCTTGACTAATAGACTCTCCATCAGCATTTATGTTTTGTTTTTTGTTTTTTTTAATGGTTTACTCAAAGTTTTGAGTTTGCACAAAGAAAAAAAAACTTACTTGAATATTCTTTTCACAGTCTGTCTGGTGATGGAGCATGAGCTCACTTTCCAAAAGGAACCGCTTGCCGCACTTGTCGCAAATCCTCATGCGACTGTGGGTGACGTTCATGTGCTTTTCCAGATACCACCTATTATTGAAAACCCTAGGGCACTTTTTACAAGGGAAGTTCTGCTTCTCCTCAAATTTGGCCTTTTGCCCCAACACATCCTGTCCTTTCTTTTTCCTCCTCCCGCTGCTTCCCCGATTTCGGGATGCTTTCGCTCCTTTCCTCAGGTTGGCGGTCTTGTCTTTGCCCGGCGACTTGCTCCCCTCGCCGGGAGAGTTTTCATCTTTGGCCATCTCTGACGACTCATCATTGTCCTTTTCCTCCTCCTCTTCTTCTTCTTCCTCTTCCTCCTCCTCCTCCTCTTCATCCTGCCGGGGTTCTCCGATATCTTCCTCTTCGCTTGGGAGGAGGTCATCGTCGTCATCCTCCAACATGTCAAGAAAATCTTCCTCTTCCTCCATCCCACCTTCTTCTTCCTCATTTTCATCATCGCCCTCTTCTTCCGATCCCTGTTCATCGCCATCTGACCGGTCTAAGACAGTCACCGTGTCTGTTGACCCCTTATTCTCAGTCCCTTTAGAAACGTTTAGTGTCTGGTTATTTAAGTTGACCTCCACAATGATCTGTTCTCTGTTGTAGGACTCTTGGCTTTCCATGTCCTCCTCAGAGTCGGCTCCTTCAATTTTACAGATCCTACTCCCACTCCTATCCTCATCTTTAAAATACTGCTTAGGCGATGCGGCATTGGGCAGATGTCCTTTGCTCACACTGTCCTCTACCCGAACAGAGTAGGGATCATTCCCTTCCCGGGCGTAAATCTTTGTTGAAGGAGCATCAACCTCCTGTTTGATCTCCCTATAGAACTGAGGCTGCATGACCGTGGTGGTATTGGTCCTAGTGTCCTCCGTGTCCAGAACCTCGTTGGCCATCGCCAGGTTCAACGACCTGCTGTGGATGAGCTCCTGACACGACGTGACGATTTCGTTCATCTGCAACACGGCAGCAGCATTTAAAACGTCCTGCACATTGCAGCCGTTGACTAAGAGCTTAGAGGTGTAGATGAAGTTGAGGATCTGCTGGAAGCCTCGAGACGTCAAAGCCTCCAGGGACAGTTCCACCCTTTGAAGTTGCTTGTTCTGGGTGAAGAGAGAATGGAAGAACTGGCTGTAGGCAGCGAGGACACCCTTGTGAGCAGGGAAAGTGCTCTTCTGTTGGACCAGAACAATGTCCACATCGCAGAGGTCGGGCTGGAACAGGCGCTGCTCGTTGAGTCTGTCCATCAAACAGGTGAAGTGGAGGGCCACATCTTCCACCAGGGAATACTCCGTGGAGGGGTAATCCGTCGTCTTCTCCACTATCAACTGTAAGATCAGAGAGAGGAGTGTAAGTAAATCAGATACAAGACAGGATCAAAAGCAGCAGATAACATACATCAAAAACATCTAAAATACAACAATCTGACAAAAGCAATATAAAGATTGGGAGTCTGGATACTTCTATAGGATGTCAAGGAATTGGCGCTTCCAGAGCAACGAATGCAGAAGACCTAAATAGTGATAGGCCAGCTGAATTTCATCTACCTGGTTCCTGGAGTTCTTCCAACCCTAAATTCTAGAAATCACTCAAATAAATTACCTGTTGCATCGCAGGTTCATCCTCAGCTACTGATTACATTTATACAATTTAGCTCGATATTAGATATAGATTGCTGGTCGATTCCTGTCCCCTACTGGATGGAAGTTCTTGCCTTTATTCCTTATAATATGTTAAGCTCCAAAGAGGACCCCTCGGCCTTAGACTATATTATTATACAGGATTTATATGACGCCAACAGTTTGCGCAGCGCTTTACAATATAAGGAAGACATTACGATCTCAATACAATGCAAGACAAGATGGTAAGGAGAGCCCTGCCCCTGAGGGCTTACAATCTAAAAGGGAGGGGCCAGTGATACATGAGGAGGTAGCTGTGTGGGGATGAATTGTTTGAGAACGGGATGGTTTAGTGGTTAGGTTGAGGTGGGATAGGCTTCCCTGAAGAGATGAGTCTTTAGGGATTGCCTAAAGGCAGTCAGAGTTCGAGATAGACGGACAGGTTGGGGTAAAGAGTTCCAGAGGATAGGAGAGACTCTAGAGAAGTCCCGGAGGCGAGCATGGGAGGAGTTGACGAGGGAGCAAGAAAGCAGGAGGTGTTTGGGAAAGCGGAGGGGACGGTTAAGGCCTTGTTCACACCAAATGCAGACCAGATCTGCACGAGTTTTTGCACACGCAGTGGAGTGGGTTGTGCCGCGTTTTTTGATGCGTTCCGAGCCGTTTTCTTTTAGTTTAAAATGGCCTTTCAGTGCGTTCCAGGGCGTTTGCATGCATTTTTGATGCGTTTGCAGGCGTTCCAGAGCAGGTCCTGAGCAGGTAAAATAGGGCCTGCTGCAGTTTTTTTAACCTGCTCTGGAACGGAACGCTGCGATGTGAACTGGTGCTAAAAATACCATTGGAATACATTGGACGCAGTAGGTAGGGGATCTAAACACCTGGTCTTCAAGCAGTTAATACTTTGAATGTTATCCTTTGGGCTATTATAACTCAAAGATCCCGAGCTTCCTACTACTTGTTCTTTATAGAGAAAACCATTATTGTGCAACAACTGAATAATATAAAATGATTGATTTGATACACTACACACGGTGCGATTCAATTTAAGAAGAGAATGATACCGCCAATAATCTCAACCTGAACCTAATCTTAACCTGAAGGAAAATAATCACAACGTTGCAATCCTCGATTTGGAATAAAAGATCTTATGATTGCATTCTTCTGGTCCTTAAAAAGGTCCTTTACCCCCTTTTACTGAAAATCACATCAGAATGCAGCTCTGCGCGCTGATATGAAATCAACTTATTAAATAAAATATTTTTATTTTATTTACAATGACTGTTTGGCCTAGTGAAGTAGCCTATGCCTAACGCCCCTGACACACTGCACACAAAGCCGTGCAGAGCCAAGCAAAGCTGTCCGGCACGGAGCTTTGAGTGCAATGCGTGAGCCGAGTGCAGTCAGATGATTGACTGCACCTTCAGCCAATCGGCACGTGCCTAACAACCAGCCAGACGTCGCATCCTGACCCCCACGTTTATACGCGTGAGCCGATTGGCTGAAGATGACATTTTTCATCTCTTGCAAGCTGACGTGCCGAGGAGAAAATTACATGACACGCTGCTCGCAAAAGGCAGTGCGCCACCGCTCTGCGCGAAGTGTGTCACGGCCTTAAGAGATGCATCCTGGGATTGTTGCATCAGCAGAGCATTGCTGGGAAATCTCATCAGTAAACCGCAAAATCTCCCGAGATCTTCAGGAAAGGCATTTTCCTCCCCCGAGATGATGTGCAATGCCACATGTCCTAGTCACATGGGCCAGAGTTCCAAGAAGTAAAGGGAGATGGATTCATCTGCCCTTAGCAAAAATGGCCGCTGTGAGAGGACTGGGGAAAAAAATAAGGTATGCAAAGAATAAAAAGCCGGCAATTAACTAGAAGTATGTGTATGTAGAATGTCATTACTAATTTCTAAAGGTGCCTTTGTTGTCACTTTAAAGATTTGGGAGGGGGCGGGCACAGCTGGCTCTGCCTCTAGATAGGCAGAGCCAGCTGTCACTCACGCAGCTGGGTGGATCCAGACAGTAATCTCTGGATCCGTCCCGGCTGCGGCGGTCTCAGTATACTGTAGGTCGCTATATACTGAGCTTTGGGTCACGGGAGGACGCTAGTTTATGTCCTCCCGTTAACCTAAGGAGAACTATGGGGAAAAACACTGACCCCATAGTTCTCCTTTAAGCGGACAAAATGTCAATCAGTTCGGGTCTACATCTGCTTTGGGTTGAAATTCTTCAGCCTACATACAAGGGCGCCGCAGACGATCGCAGGGTAAAGAGTCGCGCAGTTCTGCGTTTTAATAAGCCAATAATGAGATGCGCACAACAAGCCAGCTGGAAAGGCAAAACGCATACGAGGCCGGGAGAAGCTTCATCTGTGACCCCGCGCTCATTCCTGCCCACCCGCAGCGAGGGGAGGGGAGCGCGGGCGTCCCACAGAGGACGAGCGCCAGCCTGGGGTCAGCGGAATTTAATGACCATTCCTAGAATCCAGAATGTACAATGAGCGTATATCGTCACTTCTCCATAAACGGGGCCAGGCGTTATCAAATCATCTCCGCGAACCCTCCGCACACGTCTCCCCCTCCAGAGACCCTCCTGCACACGTCTCCCTCCTCCCCAGACCCTCC